GATGCCATTATCATACAAAAGAAGATGAAACAATTCGTGTACTTAATGGTACTCTTCAAGTTTATCTAGATGGCTATCAATTTTGTGCACCAGCTGGTACAAGTTTTTACATTCCACGAAATGTCATACAATCACATCGAAATCTTGGTTCAAAACCAATTCATGTAGAATTGTTATTTACACCATCGAATATTGACAATTATTTGGAGGAAGTTACTCCTGTTTTTGCCGCACAACCAGTCAATATGACTCGAGCAGGTGAACTTGCACGTAAATTTGGAGTTGTACATTTACCTGACATTCCATGGAAAGATCTCAATTGTGCATTTAACGATAGCACTCTGCTCATATCATCTCTTCATATGACATTTTTCATCATTGTGCTTCATATTTTCGTATTTATATGTGATAAATTACAAGAAAATTTTTAAATTAAGAATATCAAATGTTATCATATCATTACAACATGTGCTTTTTTTCTTTCCTTCATACTCAAATATTCTTCTAGATGTTCTCTCTTTTCTAGATATCATTCAAACATATCTCCTACCGCTGATCTTTTTTTTCCGGTGTATTGTTGGGTTTTCTGAATTCGCGTGTATATATACATATAGCTTTCGAGCTTTGAATAAAGTGTCTTCGGTTATCGGTAACTGCTAACATCAACCTAGTATTACCTTAGTCAGAATTCTATGAAGTTTTTAATTGTGTGAGATACCTGATGCCATTATTCAATGTGTTCTACTCAAAACTAACATTTTTTGATAAAAAGTAAGAAGCCGATATCTTTGGGAGAAATAATGCAACGAATTGGCGAAGATGATATATATATTAAACTCTCAAGGAAATATCCTGTAGTGATTTTCTGTACATTTTCAGTATAGAGTCAAGTGTATCAGCATACGTTGAACGTTATTTGTTCTTGATTGCTCTCTGTCTGCTCAATACTGGCAATACGGTCCGTTTTGTCCCTTATTGTCTTTTATTCGCTAAGCTATCCTTGAACTTTCGAAACACATAAATCACTAGTAGGTCTCATCATCAATCTATATCACACAATAAGTCCCAAACATCTCTACCGCCTATGAGTAGAGAATATTTCGTTTACAAAAACTTTTTTTTTCATGTTTTCAAAACTGCCAATCGTATAAACCCGATATTTCGGAGAAGAAGTCACAAACTCGTTGGCTCTGTTCTGGAAGAACGAGATTGTGATTTGCAATAAAAAATGACTAAGATGATGTAACATTTTCGTTATCAATTCTTGACGATGTAGGTGTGGGTGTTCTTTTCATTCACATCTACGCCCACACTGACACCTCCACACCCTAGTTTTCTATGATTATTTGACTGTAGAAGTAGATCTACCATTTGTTTCTAGAAAGGAAGGGTGGGTGTGGGTGTGAGGGTGTGGGTGTGGGTGTGGGTGTGGGTGGGTGTGGGTGTGGGTGTGGATGTGGGGTGTGGGTGGGGTGTGTTAGCAGAGAAGACTTTAAAGAAAGTCAAATCAAATAGCTAGCAAGACCGGTTTCGACAAGTGCTAAAAGTACTTATCAATTGCTTTTTGATTTTAGTTAAAGTTTTTTCTGCTACTGCGGGTACTCTCGTTAGAAGGCTTGTAGGAATGTGTTCGGATATAATATGACTAAGAATTAAATATATATTATCGGGGATATTCTATAGTAATTAAGAAATCAGTGAATTTGTGAAATGATCCTGCAACATTAGTGTGCTTTGTTATTAATTCTGAAACAGTTTGATGTTTAGTATTGAGAGTGTTGAAGATTACTGGTGAGGATGAAAACATCACTCCTCGTAGTGATGTATATGTGTATTGTTTTTAAAAGTTTTAATATCTTCCGGTTTGGATTTCGTTATGCTTAAATGGAAGTAGTTTTTTATATTGTGGTATCATTTGTATGGACTTACGGGAATGTTTTTTTGTTTTTGCTTATGTTGGTTCGAGCGGTAGGGCTGTAGAAGGTAGAATCGTACTGTATTGTTTTTGGATTGATTTCATTTGGTTCTGATAATTGATTTGTTTCTTTTCTAATCTGAAATGATATTTGAATACATGTTATGTTAAGGAATAGTTTTTTTTTTATTTGTCTAAATTTTTAT